GTGATTGTGCATCGCCCCGGTCTAGCGAGACGCTATTCGAAGCGTGCGTTGCCTTGGTCAAACAACGGAACGAACCTGGCTCTACGACAAGTACGGTTACGGCCGAACCACGGCTCCGGCGACGCGACGGATGCTGGAATGAATTCAAGACAACGGAGACCCAGGACAGGTTTCGAGAGTTAGTCAGCCCTGAAACTTAATTTCACCGACGCCTTGGTCGATTCGCAACAGGATTACGGCGGTCCAAATCGAGCTCTAGACTAGCAAGTTCCACTGAATCCTCCGTGTTGGAAATCAAGGCCCTTGATGGCATTCAGCCCAGGTTGCCTGTTGCAACCCCACGTGATATCTCCACGTCTGTGTTGGAACCCGGAGGGTTTGACAATTAGACTGGAACATTGAGGCGTCTATGGGAATAGATCGATTACACGAAACAATGAATCGCGTTTGTATTGGATTCTACTCCAGCTTCTATTGTTATGCTTATCTCCCTCAAGGGATAGACCGAATGGGATCAAGATGTATCCAAGGGAGCAGTCCAATAAAATAGGAGATAATGTGCAGTACGGAGTAGCAGCAACTCCTTTTCTCCAGGTACTCTGGATACTCGATCATATTTTTCAGCTGACGGAGGACCTGACGCCCCCTGTTTATATCCCATCCCTTTTTGAATCTATTCACAATAAACCTTCTCCTAACTCTGTTTCCGTGATAAATCATAATCCACCATTCGCCGACTCCATTCCCGGCCATCCAATCCTTATCCATGGTCACCGCCGGAGTCCTCGCCACACGGCTTACTGTAAAAATCTCACTCCGATCGAACCTCACGTGCTCTCCGGTTCCGACTTAGTCAGCCTACCAATCAAGGCATCCCCTCGGCTTTTCCGGATTTCCTGTACCGGACGAGTCCCGACACTGGATGCGGGGGTGTTCTGATCAGGGTATTGTTGGGCGTTTCGCCGATTCTAGAGCTGGGTCATCATGATGCGGTTGAGGAATGTTGGATCATGTATTGAAACAGACGGTGAGTTTTTAGTTGACTCAGGGGTCACTTGCTCCGTGATGAGTGTATTGTGATCCATTCTAAATTGATGTGCTAACCAAATAATGCTGACATTCGCTTTTTGTGGTATTCCCAATATCGCATGATACGCCGTTATCATGATATCAATCCAAACCCCTCGCTAACATCCAATCATGTCCAAATATCGACTCTCATCCAATGCATCATGATATGTAAACTGGCATACGACTTCCCAATAGCTCACTTTTACTCAACTGCACATCCAACTTGTTAAAGTCGTGTAACATTAACCAGCATATCATGCGGAAAATCAGCGTACACCAAACATCATCATGCGAGACCTCCTGTTCATACAAAGCGGCCTCTAGTCTGGGTCTGGGTTGCTCGCTTGCTAACGAATACGCTTCACTCACAGCACTGCCAGGTCTGCTAGACATGGAGGGACGACCGTTGGCCATAGGACCGAGAGGAATGTTCTCCACGCTGGTTTGCAGACGAGGGGCTGGCATTGGGGGAGGCGGCGAGGACGCTCGTTCAATGCCACGCATGCTGGATGCTTGGGTACGACCAGTGCCTGCGCGACGGAAACCATACCCTGCAGGAGCTCCAACAAGGCTTGTTCTGCGATCTGTTGAACGGGCAGCACGAGGGATGACCTTCTCACGAATAACGTGAAAGTAAACTTCCAAAAACTTGTGCTGCCGCTCATCAGGACTGGCTTCGTGCATGTCCTCGAATCCAATGGGCGCAACTCTAGGCTGCTGTCCATCCTGTCGTGTGTGTGGTGTAGCCGGGCTCCATTCAGCGTGTAGAGATTGTGTATCAGATGATCGGTCTTCCCCATCATTGAGTAGACGCAGAACTTCTTGGATGTGTGACCGCAAAACATCCTGGACCATTTCTCGTCGCTTCTTCTGTACCTCGGACTCATGAATCTTGATGCCCAACTGCTCTGCGAAAGGGGTAACAGTGCCGCTGGGTTCCTTGGCTGTCAAGATTTGATCGCAATCGTCGATGGCTTCGTGGAGTGCCTTGAGGGTGCACATCTTCTCGGTTACGCTTTCGTCCTTGTTGTAGGCCAAAATTTGGTCGACGTGCTTCTTAATCTTCTCGATAATTACAGGGTTCCGACGGGCTCCAGGCAGTGAAATGGGAACAAGGTCCTCATAAGCTTCCATCACTTTGACTAATGACACCGACTGCTTATCCCAACGATCTGATGTTGGATTGGGAATATGGGTGAACATGCTGTTCTTGATGTGAAAAGTACGACTCAGCATACCGAGAATTTCGAAGGAGACTAAAACTGTCAGTATATGTGTTTCCATCAAGGCAAAGAAACCTACCAGGAAACAGATGTGACGTATGCTTCCCAGCATCTTGGAAGGCACGGACAGCATTGTTGTTACATCCAATTCGGATGAGGGTCTGAGAAATCTCCTCACGAGTTGCCAGTTGAAGGAAAGCCAAGTTCTCTGGATCGTCTTCAGGAAACCGGAGGCGTCGCTGATCCAAAAGCACGCTGTAAATAGTCGACACATAGCCAAAACAAAGCTCCTTCACCTGGTCAACGGGAATCACTCGATTTGCTTCGAAGCGACTCCTCCCGTAAATGCTGAACGTGAACATCAATCCGAGATCAGTGACCTTTTCGCCAATAACCATAAAACCATTGCCTTCGGCACGATAACGCTCACGCTTGCGGTCGAATTCTTTCCAGTAGATTCCCAAAGCCGCCAACATCTCGATAAGATGGCACATCGTCGTCGTCGCGTAGGGGCGTAGAACAGTCGCAGGCATTGTATCCCAGCTCTTACGTTTCCGTTGAAGAGCTACTGTCATGGTATGTGCATCATATAGACTGGGAGGGTTGGTGGGAAGATCGTGGTGCTGTGACTGCGCATTGGGAGGCCCAACTTGTTTATGCATGCCCTCATATTGGCTCTTCTGCCACTTTTCCGACTCATGCTCCATTCGTTGCACAGCGCTGAGAAGCAATGTCCACGAAGCTCGCTCATTATCAGCAGTATGGATACGCTCTCGTTTCGTCTTGTTGGCATATTCCTCTCTGGGATTTATGTCCAGCTCAGACCACGTATTTTCGAGACTCTCGGGACTTCCGTCTAGAAAGTATATCTCTGCCCCGCGAATTGGGCCGTGTTGGTTGTCTGGTGGCGAGACGAAGATCACAGGGGCCTCAAACTCGACCTCGAAACGGAGCTCGTCCCAGGAGAAGCGACGAGTTTTTGTAAGTGCCCATTTTCCCATGACCTTCTCGTTGCATTGAGCGTATCCTGCGGCAGAGGCATAGTATTGTTGCATGACCTGCATAAAGGTAGCTGCCAGAGCAACCAAAGACACGAGGAGAGCCACGATGGCCACCACGACTTCGGGGTCCGCTTCAGCCATGGTCTTGAGGTTGCGATATTCTCTGGGCCAGTTCGTTCGTTCGTTCGTTCGTCCCGGTCTAGGATGATTGGTACCACGTAGGAGAACGGCTGCTCGGGGTCGTGAAGTGCCGGACAATCTAGCAATCAATTATGGGCACACTGTCCCTGCTCGTCACGGACTCGAAGCCTGAGTTCGATGGAGGTCAACGCGACATGAAGCAATCGTCTCGCACAGCCGTAAACCAATTCCGGCGTAGTTAGTCGTTCAAGGCGTCGCCATCATCACAAAGTAGAAAAAGGCAGAAGAGATGTTGAAAGGAGAACAAGCTGGACAAATCCACAGGCGGAGAGCCTGGTTTGAACTTCGCAGTCGCGCATCTTTCTTAACAAGGACAGGGGATGACAGCCAGGGCTGTAGAGTCCAGGGTTCAATTGGGTCAAGTGCTTATTGAGTGGATGCAGTGGAAACGTTTGGGGGCTATGGCCGCATCGAAGGTCGCTGCAGGCCTCAACTCAGGAGGTCGAGTAGCGTTGGATAAAGGGGTTTAGGTAGCGGATTTAATATGGAATATTGCCGCGAATTTATGCATGTTTCTTGGGTTTTAAAGTGAAACCTCGAGAAGGGAAGATCTGACTGGAATTTTACCTCACCAGGCCATGGTCTTAGTTTCCATCCATTGAGTTAGGTTGCGGCCCGTCATGACGTTACGGCTGATAGCCTTAAACTTTAGCGGATTTCGCCCTGAATGGTTGGTTGACTGTGGGGAGCGGGCGCTAAAGTAATCCCGTCTCGGCTCGCATCAACATCTCAGCCTCAATCAGAAGGATTATTAGGTGGCAATGGGAAAAGATGAACGCTTCATGATGGCCGTTTGATTATGAAGCTGAGATATAGTCCTGATGCCATAAGTATCGGGTGCAATGGTGCTAATTCTAACGATTGGGTATACTCCGTAATAACACACGGTTGTTGGAACACCTCCTTCAAGTTTCAGGAGTGAAAGAAGGCATCAAAAGCCGACAATAAGACAGCAGATAAGACTGGACATGCAATACATTAGCTGAATGTCTATTGTACTGATTCCAACCCTTGGTAGGGCTCGCAAGTCTGAAAACCCTCTGTCAATAAATATGTATCATGTGGAATTGGAGCCACCCTACAGCTTCTCCTTACGCCTCGGTTACTCTCCCCATCCGATTCGGTGCAACATGATTACTCCAGGCCACGATATTATCGTCCCCGTCAAAACAATAACCTCAGCATCATACCTCCCATCATTGATAGCCTTCGATCATAAATGCGGGCACAACACCCGCATCTGGAAGAGTTCACGGTCTGCATCTGTCAACATGATCAGATTTCCTTCCCGTAAAATCCGGTCGGCGTCGAGCAAGAGAGATAAACACCCAAAGCTCCAAGTTTCGGCGTTCAAAGTCCTCCATTTGTCACGAAATATCATGAGCTGCCGACTAGCCATATCCCGTAATGGTTGTATCTCCAGGACTATGGTATATGCAGCAAGGAGAAAAGCTGGCCCGTCATCAAGTTGGGTTCCAGGGATGACGGCATGGAGCAAGTAGTTCTAGAACTTGCCCGGGTCCTTATTGCCCATTAGTGCAAGAGGGATCCGAGGAGCCAGGCAAGGCCACAAACGTGACTTATTGTCAGGCATATCCTTCTCCTCCTTGACATAATGCACCTGGCTTAGAATATCACCTAAAGGTTTCAAAGTATCCATGTCGCACGACTCCCACATGACGAGTAGCTGTGTACGAGTAAGGCCAGAATCATCCTGATCAGGAGGAATATATACAAGTGGGAATTGGAGATGTGCAGGAAGAGCTAAGATCTTCTCATTGATCTCATGGAAAAGGGTATACGACTCTTCCAACCAATTCTGTGTTTGCCTCTTGTCTTTGTCATCGGCAATCAGGTTGACCTGGGCTCTGAACTCTTGCAAGAGGGCTGTCTTTACTTTGTCGCCAGTTTGTTTTTCACAGACAGTGCGAAAAAGCTGCCCGTATAAGGGATGGAAAGCGATGCCCGATACATTGGTCTTGATAATTCGATTGAGATGTTTTGCGATGAAGTCTTTGTAGGCTGCAGTGCCATTGATGTAATTTCTGGCCACGTTTCTGCTTGTGAGTTTGTTGGCTTGCTTCTGATGGGTACTAACATCGCCATGTAGAAGAAGGGGGATTTCGTTGTGTAGCATGGTCGGCTTAGTGGGGGTGATGTTGCTATAGTTTGAGCCGCAGAGCGTCGCCAAGTTGGCTTCGGAAACTGTAGAGAGCAAGTCTGGGTCAAATTTGTAGCTTATTCTGATGGACTCTGGTATGTCGATAATCCCATCAGCCCGCATCCAAAAGAGAAGCAGGCCTATAGTGAGTCGAAAGATGACTCTACGGCTGTATATCGTACGAAAGAGATTGCCTTGTGTCATGGCGGACAGATAGAGATATGGGCTCCAATAGCTGGTGTCGTCATTGAGGTTGTGAGCGGATCCAAGGGTGAAAGAAAACACCACAGCTTTCTTGAGACCCGACGAAACCCTTGCAGTGCCCGCGAGATTATTGGCACAATTAATCCAATTCTTGAAACAGTCGCCTAGTTGACCATATTTTTTGGGGAGGAACTCCTGCTCTGCTCTGTAATAAGGTCCACTGATATCCTCCAGCCCCAGCATGGGAGGAGCATGGGCATAAAGAAGGACGATAGTGCCGTTACTTCTCATCTGCAGATACACGTTGGCAAGGGCCGCTTTGCAAGCACAATTTGATTTGGACGCGGAGCCAACAGTCGGCATCTCTAAATCTTCAACGAATTTGAGTAGCTGGTCTGCACTTAGAGGGCTGGATCTAGAATAAGGTCTGCACCATCGTGACCATTCTATAACTTTTTTATCAGCATAATCATAATTCCGATAGGCTAGGACTCCAAGGCGGTCAAAGCAGTCAGCGACAGACACGAAGTTGATAATATCGGTAATGGCCTTTTTCAACTCCGTGACACCGGCAGCCCCGCCTGTTACAACGTCGAAAACGATCATCAGATCGTGGGTTTGAGGCGGGTTGCTCATGATGACAATTCTTGATGAGAATAACGTGATTGGTGATTGAGAAACGTCTGAAGAAGCTGTGTGATGTGGCTTATGACTTGGGATAGTTCAAGATGACGGGCGACGTGTTGTCAGTGTTGATGATGAGTTGTTGGGTTGTTGGGTTGCGTATGGAAGAAGAGGCACCGTGACTGCTTTGGGGGCAGCCAGTCATTGCGATATCGTCAGTTTCATGGCAGGTACGCCTCCAATCTCAGATATTAGGTAGGTATGTCCCTACCTCATGGATCCGTGCAGCTTTTGATATTGCGAAGGCCTGTAAGCTGGCAAGGGAGGTGGCAGGTTCTTATTGGAAGGAGACATGACGATAGACCACTGTAACGTACTAAAGTTAAAGTGTCATGATACATGAGTCTGTGCGAACTGTTCTCTCTCTATCATAGTATGAGATTACAGTGCGATAATACTTATACCATCTATTATGAAAGGCATGACACCCAGTGCGCATCTTTCAGGATGCGTCGAACCTCATCATATGACTTGACGTGAACATGTCACTGGCATAGTAACAGCTAACCTTTCAAACCTGCAGTCACCATGCTCGTTAAATCAACACCGATAATACTTTTCGCAATTCATGTATGTAGCCTGCTGTCTACTAATATTCCGCTTTCGGTGACTTGGGTGATGGTGGCTTCAGATAGGTACCTTAGGTAGCTTATGCCAGATGCTTACCTAAGGCATGACGCGGTCCCCTGAACAAGCGAGGGAACGTGATATCCATGTTTCAAAGGAGGCAGCCTGAGCTGTTCCATCTTTCTCCCTCTTCTTCTATTTATCAATCACATCAAAGTACCATCCCAGTCAATACTCATCAAATACAATGTCTCGATTCTCTCGCTACGACACCGACGAGGAGCGTCTTCCCGAGGGGATGCAGAGAGTTGGCTACGATGCTGACACTCAGGTCTACACGTTCCGCGACGCCGACGGCAGCTACTGGGAGAGCGCGCCAGGCAATCAATACGGCCAGCTCACAAAGGTCGGCGAAGCTCGTCCTGAAGGTCAAGAGACCGAGACCTTCCTCATGACAAGCCAGCAGCAACGGCCCAAGATGTCGTGGTTCACCGAGATGAAACCCTTTCTCAACTTTCTCATGCTCGTCATCCTATCGCTCGTCCTGCTCTTCTGGTTCCTCGGCTACAAGGGCTCTTCGCCAGATGAGCGTATTCCCATAGCGGACTGCCCTGAGGGCACGGTTGCGTATGCGATTCACAAGGGCGATACATGCTGGGAGATTGCGAACAAGAATGGAGTGAGCGTTGATGACTTGAAGAACAAGAATCCAGACCTCAATTGTGAGGCCCTCAAGATCAATGATCGCATTTGTGTGCCTGGAAAGAAGAGTGTTGATTGAGCGCGTCGTACCATGCGTTGTGGCTGGGGGTACAAAGCCTCACTGGGTAACTGTTGTAGCCGTCAGGTACGGCAAATGATGCGACATGTCTAACGGTTGGCTACGTCAAGTTGAGTCGGAGTGAGTTATGAGCTATGAAGCTGTCTGAACGGAGTTGTCGTGACGTACAGACTATAGCCTGGGTTAGTGTTGCCGTTCTCTGACGCGTACTGGACATTGCTTGGTGGCAGTTCATAGCAGCGTTATGGCAGTAATATCTCATGCCTGACAGACTGTCAGCCAATTCTTGGATGAAGCTGTATCTGATCGCTAGGTGATAAGCATCCGGAACCCAGACTTCTGGGAGCGTATCAATCAGCATAACGCGTGTCAAGCAGCCAACCAACGTCATCATGGGCCTATCAGCCGACAACCATTGGCCATCATGCACCTGAGCTAGTGCAGCATCTCGGCCGGTGCCAGCAAACTCGAGGGCTTGTCTTGGCTGTCAAGGTTGCATTTATCCGACATCTTCAGCGATGCCTGGAGTAATCAGGCTTCGAAAATAGCCATGCCGTGCCATGCCATGCCACCAGAGACGAGTCTGCACAAAGCCGACGAAACAAAAGACAACAACACATCACTGCCACCCACCAAAGGCGGTCAAGCACAAGCATTAACTACATACAACTTCATTCGGCATCTTCTTAACCCGTCAGGGAATCATCACCACAAAAAGCCCCGCGCTAAAAGTGGGAGAAACGAGGGGCAACACCAGACCCTGGGCTTGCATGCGCTGGGCTAAGTTAGTGGAGGACCACCGCTGCCAACCAGCGCGTGCACCTGCAAGAGCGGGGGCCTGGGAATTTTTTTTCTCTTCCATGCTAATTTCGACTCGACTCGAGGGGACCCCAAATAATTTAAAATTTTCGGCGCGGGTCTCTCGCGACTCTTTTCTTTCCTTCTCTTCACTACTATAAACCTTCGGGTTCTTTTCCTTTTTCCCTTCCTTTCTCTTTCTCTTCTTTTCTCTGTCGTTCAAGCTTCGACAAAGAAATCATCATGGATAAGGGGAAGCTTGCTCAGCTCCTTGAAGGGAGCCAAGTCCGTAAGTTCAATCATCTACGTCAACGATAAACAGCTGGCAAGCTCTGCTTTCCCTTGCTGCTACTTGTTGCCTCGCTACATAAGCATCAAAACTAACCTCTTTTCTCTCCAGCCAACACGGAGCAGGTCAAGGCCGTTACCGCCGAGCTCCAGAAGAACTTCTACACACAACCCGAGTCGCTGCTCGCCCTCGTCGAGATCTCCCTCACACATGGAGACGCCGGTGTTCGACAGCTCGCCTCGGTCCAGGCTCTCCGTCTGATCCCCAAGTTCTGGGAGAAGACCGCCCAGGACCAGCGACAGCTCGCCCGAAATCACCTTCTTGAGGGTGTCCTCAAGGAGTCCTCTGCTGGTGTCCGCCACTCCCTCGCCCGTCTTATCGCCGGCATTGTCAGCGCTGATATGGAGAACGGTGAGGGCGAGGAGTTCCTCCAGCACCTCCTTCCTCTCACCAACAACGATAATGTTGTTGCCCGTGAGGTCGGTTCATTTCTCCTCTACGCTATCCTCGAGGAAGACCCTACCCACTTCGCCGACCACACACATGAGCTTCTAAAGCTCTTCCAGGCTCGCATTGAGGACCCCCAGAGCAAGGAGGTTCGCATCAACATCGTCCGTGCCATTGGTGCTATCCTCATGATCGTCGAGCCCGAGGAGGACCCCGAGTCTCTTAAGGCCATACAGAACTTTGTTCCCAGCCTGGTCAACATTCTCAAGGCTACCGTCGAGGCTGAGGATGAGGAGAGCTACAAGATCGTTTTCGAGGTCTTCCACTCTTTCATTGCTTACGACTCTTCCCTCCTTGCCCTCCACCTCCGTGACCTCCTTGCCTTCATGATTGAGCTTGGTGGTAACGTCAACGCCGAGGAGGACGCCCGATCTCAGGCTCTTGCTTTCCTCACCCAGTGTGTCCGCTACCGACGCATGAAGATTCAGGGCATGAAGGACATGGCCGCTGAGCTCATGGTCAAGGCCATGCACATTGTCACCGAGCTCGACGCCGATGACGACGAGGAGGACATTTCTCCTGCCCGTACCGCTATTAGCCTCATCGATACCTTGTCCAACGAGCTCCCTCCTCGACAAGCTATTGTTCCTCTCCTCGAGCAATTCCCCCACTTCGCTACCAACAACGATCCCAAGTTCCGTATGGCGGCTATGCTCGCTCTCGGTAACGCTGCTGAGGGTGCTCCCGACTTCATCTCCACTCAACTCCAGCCTCTTCTCCCTACTATCATCTCTCTCCTCGAGGATTCTGAGACTCAGGTCCGACATGCCTCTCTTGTTGGTCTGATCCACCTCGCTGAAGAGATGGCCGACGAGATGTCTTCTCACCACGAGCAGATCATCGCTTCCGTCCTCAAGAATCTCGAGGCTGCCTCTCAGGGTCCCTCTGACAAGAAGAATGTTAGCATCATTCGCTGCGCTTGCGGTGCCCTTGATACCTTTGGTGACGGCATTGACACCAAGATCATGGCTCAGTATGGTCCCAATCTAATTGGTCCCATGGTCCGTCTTCTCGACCACGAGGACTTTGGTGTCAAGGCTGCGGCTGCTTCTGCTATCGGTGCCATCGCTTCTTCCATGGAGAAGGGTTTCGAGCCTTACTTCAAGGATGTGATGTCTTCTCTTGGCAAGTTCGTCTCTATCAAGGAGGGTGAGGAGTCTCTCGACCTCCGAAGCTCCACCTGTGACAGCTTGGGCCGCATCGCCATGGCCGTCGGTTCTGAGTCTTTCCAACCCTATGTCATGGATCTCATGTCGGCTAGCGAGGAGGCTCTCAGCCTTGACAACCCCCGCCTCAAGGAGACCAGTTTCATCCTGTGGTCCAACTTGTCCAAGGTCTACCACGAGCAGTTCGACCACTTCCTTCCCGGTGTTTTCAAGGGTCTCTTCTCTTCTCTCGAGCTCGAGGAGGAGGAGATCGAGCTTCCCGGCGTTGACGCTAGCCAACTTGGTGACGGTGCTATCGTCGTTGGTGGCAAGCGTGTCAAGGTCAAGGCTCCCGAGACCCAGGACGATATCACCATCGCCACTGGCGGTGACGAGGACTGGGATGATATCGAGGACCTTGAGGATCTCGGTGCTGTGACTGCTGTCGCTCTTGAGCAGGAGATTGCTCTTGACGTCCTTGGCGATGTCATCTCCAACTCTTGCAACAGCTCCAACCTCGAGACCTACGTCGAGCAGACTATCGAGAAGGTTTCTCCCTTTACCGAGCACACATACGAGGGATGCCGAAAGACCGCCATCTCCACCCTCTGGCGCACCTACGCCCGTGTCTTCCAGGTCTGGGAGGAGGGCGCCGGTGTCAAGTGGGAGGCTGGTCTTCCTCCTAAGCACACTCCCCCTACCTCGCTCATCAGCATGGGCCAGGCTCTTGAGAAGGCCACTATGACCATTTGGTCTGACGACAGCGAACGGTTAGTTTACCCCCTTGTCTTTTCTGTTTCTGCCAATATGATGAATACCTTGCGTTATACCCAGCTCACTCAGACGCAAAATGCGGTTGCTGAGA